ATGAGGGTTTAGCGCCCGGCGAGGGTTTGGGGAGGGTTTGCCGGCTTTGTAGGGGACTAGGGGCCCCAAACGAGGGTTTAGGGCCCCAGGGAGGGTTTGGGGCCCCCAATGCGTGTGCGAGAACTCCAAAGAGGGTTTAGGGCCCCCAATGAGGGTTTAGGGGCCCCTCTGCAGTCCCGAGGCCCCAATGAGGGTTTAGGGGCCCCATTGAGGGCTTAGGGGCCCCCAGGAAGGTTTAAGGGCCCCAATGAGGGTTTGGGGCCCCCCAAAAAGGTCTAGGGGCCCCAACGAGGGTTTAAGGGCCTCAATGAGGGCTTAGGGGCCCCCACGAGGGTTCGGGGGGGCCCGCATCAGGGTTTAGAGGCCCCTTGAGGGTTTAGGGGCCCCCATGAGGGTTTAGAGCCGCCAATTAGGGTTTAGGGGCTCCCCAAAGAACTTTGTTTGGAAGTAACTGCGGCAAAAGGCAGCAGTTGGGGAGACAAAGAGAAACAGAAAATAAACATGAAATAAAATTAAAATAAAATAAAATAAAATAAAATGAAATAAATTAAAATTAATTTCTTAAAAGCAGTTTGGAAGAGTTTTTAAAGGGGCGAAAGAGAATAAAAGAGACGAGACGCGGAAAGGGTTTACTTAAAGTTTCAATTTGAAAAATTAAGTTTCCACAAATGCAACATATAATAAATTAAAATAAAACATTTCGAAGCCCCTGTATCCGCTAAATTAGGGTTTAGGGTCTGGCCCTCTAAGACGCTCCCACCGCCCTGCGGGCATCCACTGGGAATTTGCTAGGCTGCAAAACCCTCGAGGGTTTAGGGTTTAGGGTTTAGCGTTTGTGGGGACTCCGCGCCAGGTGGGGCCAGCAAACCCTAAACCCTAGCTAGAAGGGCTCTTCAAGATATGGGCCTTAAGTTCAGGCTCTAGGGTCTAGGGTTTAGGGTTTGGGGTTTGCAGTTGAGGCCCTAGGGTTTAACGTTTACGCTTCAGGCTCTAGGGTTTAGGGTTCAGAGTTTTGAGTCTATGCTCTACGGTCTAGGGTTTAGGGTTTCCAACTCAGGCCCCAGCGGCTAGGGTTTAGGGTTTAGGGTTTAGGGTTTAGGGTGCTCAGCGGAGAGTCTATAGGTTTGTTTTTTCCCTTTTTTCGTCGAGTGTACATACACCTCAACGCCCAGATCTTTTGTAAAGCTGCAAAGATTAAAATGGAGGAAATTTGGAGAGCAATTTGCTGCTGGCGTTGTGGGGCGTTGGTGCTGCTGCTGCTGCCGCTGCTGGCGCTGCTGCTACTGCTGCTACTGCTGCTGCTGCTGCTGCTGCTGCTAGAGTTTGTTGGCTTGGGGCTTCTTGCAGGCCTTGTTGAGGGGTTTGTGGACAGGACTTTGGGAATTGGAAAGAAGAAGAAAAGTAGTTTTGAAGAATTTGAGAATTTCGGAAACTGAAGAGGCGGGCGTGGAAGTTGGTTGGGGTGTACGTACACTTGGGGGTTGCGGTTTGCGGCGTGGGTTCGCGTCGGGGTTCACTGGAGGTCATTTTTGGGTTTTTTTCGGGTTTTGGGTCAAAATTGGTTAAAATTTTTGGATATTTTCGGAAACATTTCCCGAATTTGCCTCAGTTTGGCGCGGGAGTCGCGGAATCGCGTCGGAGCGGCGAGATCGGCGTGTGGTTCGGGCTTGGTCGAAAATGCCGAAGCGGGAGCGGCTGGCGGGGGAGCCCGCGGAGGCGGAGGGCAAGCAGCGGAAGCTGGAGAGCAGCAGCAGCAGCAGCAGCAGCAGCAGCAGCAGCGGGGAGTCGGTGCTGCAGCCGTACATGGGGGAGCTGGAGGAGATTCAGGAGGCGCTGCAGCAGCTGGAAGAGGAGTGCGCGCAGCAGCAAATGGCAGTGCAGCGGGAGTTCGACTTGGCGAAGAAACCCCTCTTCGAGAAGCGGCAGCAAACCCTAGAAAAGGTTCCAGGGTTTTGGTTTGCTGCTCTCAAAAACCACCCCGCCTTCGCGCTAATTGCTGCTGCTGACGCGCCGCTGCTGCAGCACCTGAAGGCGCTGTTTCTCGACGACAACTTGGACGCCGCTGGCTCCTACAGAATCAAATTCGTGCGTCTCAAACCCTTTTTTCGGGTTTCCAAACCCTTTTTTCGGGTTTGGCGCGAACCCTTTCAAGCGGGTTTTCAGCGGCTTTTAAACGCCCTTTTCAAATGGCTTACGCAGCTTTTTTAAACAGTTTTAAGAACTGTTGAAAGCGGTTTTAAACCCTTTTAAAGAGGTTTAAAACCCTTTTTAAGCGGTTCTAAAACCCTGTAGTCGTGTTTTAAAACCCTTTAAAGGTGTTTTAAATCTCCTCTGGAGCTTTTTTGAAAATCTTTTCAATTTTCTTTTTCTTTTTTGGTCTTCTTTTTCCCCATTTTAATTCATTTCTTTTTTTGTTTTTATTGTCTTCTTATTCTTTTATTTCTTTTTATTTCATTTCCTTCATTTCTTTTTTGTTTTTTATTTTTAATTTTTTTAATTTCTTTTTCGTCTGCTTTTGTGAGGCGTTCTTTTTTGTTCACATTTGCGAAACCCTCGGAATCTAAACCCTAAACCCTTGCCATCCTGCCAAACCCTAAACCCTTGCCATCCTGCCAAACCCTAAACCCTTGCCCTCCTGCCAAACCCTAAACCCTTGCCCTCCTGCCAAGCCCTAAACCCTAAACCCTTGTTCCAAACCCTAAACCCTTGTTGCAAACCCTAAACCCTTGCGTTTTAAACAACCCCCAACCCCTCTCTCTCACTGCAAACCCTAAACCCTGACCCGAAGCCCCAAACCCTCGCGCGTTCACCAAACCCTAAAGCGCTCCCTCTCGACCGCCAAACCCTCCCCAGACGCCAAACCCTAAACCCTAAACCCTAAACCCTCGTTTTTTGGCTTTTTTGGGTCTTTTTCGCAGGTCTTTGCAGAGCCCGCCCGCGCTTTCTTCTCCCCCCTCGAATTAACCAAAGAAATTCGATTTGGAGTTTCTTTTCCAGATGATGAAGAAGTTGTGGAAGCAACAGAAATCAATTGGGTCAACAAGGAGAACAACCCGGTGGCGCTGGCCCGCGCGGCGCGCGCGCGCGCCAACGGGGCCCCCGGGGGGCCCCCGGGGGCCCCCGGGGGCCC